GAAATACCCTCCCCAGACTAAGCTGCCTCGCTTGATGGTTGTGTAGCTCCATAAATTCTGAACTCTTAACTCTCTGAAATTTAAATCAAAGTAAAACAAAACCAATGAGCACTTTGAATTTATCCATTAATGTATAAGCAGTTGTATTTGTGTGATTTGCATGTTTTAGCCATGTGGGAGGTGGGCTATATGGTGTGGGCAGATGAACATTTTTACTGTAGGCAAAGAACCTGTTTCTTAAAGTTTACATTAACTTGGAACATCTTTATGGAAGGCCATTCTACTTTATTTGGTATTTTTAAATATTTTGGAAAGACTGCACTTTCTACTCTGACAAAAAAGAGTGACTTAATGAGGTCCGCAAACAAAATACATTTCCCCTTTTCCTGTCAAGTGATCCTAATAAGCTGTGTGTCATATGAAGTAAGTTCTTCACAAATATGCCTCCTATTGCTAAACTAACGTACTGTTTCAGGGGAAGAGGTTACTTACCCACAACAATACCTCTGCCTTAAGGGAAAATAAAAAGCCAGATAAATTAGGGAGAATTATTAAATGATAATAGGGTTCACAGGTATGTTTCTTTGAATTAGGGGCAACCATAATCCATTTAGGTTTGCTTCAGTCTATCATTAGCTACTTGAGCAAGCTTTGATAGGGAGGGTGAGAAAGTTTTAGTCCTATGAGTCATTGCTCGGTGAAGATCAATCTCAAAATATGATGAAACTTTTTTCCGAGCCATCTAGTTAGCAAGTAAAACTAACACATATGAAACAGCAGAATAATTAAATGCAAAACTGTCTTATTAGGAGGAGTGAGTCTTTTTTTAGATATATGTTTGAGTAAATATTAGCCCCTTACGTTTTTGATTACTATTTCAGACATTCAAAAAGATGTAGAGAATGAAAAAGTACAAACAATATGGTACCTGTCTACCCACTACTCAGTTTAAGAAATAAAACATTACAGTTTCCTTCTGATCACATTTCTCTTCCTTTCCCAAGAGGTAACCTTGCTTACCTGCTCATTTAATTTTCAGCTTCTTAGGGTAGTGATGCATCATTTGACCAATGGTTGAATAAGGTTTTGGTTAGATCAAAGTACAGAGAGGGGACATACATGGTGTGTGTGCGCAGGTGGAGAGACGAGAGGTTGAGTGGCCATTCATTCTGCACTTCCTTGAATAAATGCTAACTTCTTATTCTGTGAAAAGCACTGTGTTGGCTGCCATTTAAGATGGGTTGTCAAGCATAGGTCCTTTTTTCTTAGAGCCTTAGAATCTGCTTGGGGATTAAAGACTTGCGTATGCAGAGTAACTATAATATGGGGGAGTAGTGTTGACTAATCCAAGCTGTGTGACACATTGGGTGCAAAGGGAGGTGCTGTGCTGGGAAAGACTTGCTTGGAGCTATGCCTTAAGATTCACTTGTCAACAAAGTATAGGGTACAGTGGGGCAGGAAGGAGACTAGAATCAAGGGGAATGGCTAGAAAGTGATTTCAGTATCTAAGTGAGAGAATAAGTTCTCAAGTTAGAACAGGATCAGGAAAGAAGTGATGAATAGGAAGATTTTTGAGGAGTTGCAAGGATCTGGAAGCTGGAAGAGACAAGGACAATGACTTCACAGTTTTGAGACTAAAAAGGCCTAGCCAGAAGAGAGGGAGCCGTCCGTTTTGGTTTGAGTTCAGCTTTAGGCATGTTGACTTTGAGGTTTTGGAACTTCTAGGCAAATGTGTCTAGTGAACAGTTGGGAAATCACACTGGGGCTTAAGAAAGAGCTCAGGAGGTAAACTGGGCAGCCTTTGCTTAGACGGAACATGATGAGACCAGGAGCATTGGAACTAGGGAAAGGTCACTGAGGGGCGAGAACTGAAAAACTTCGGTATTTTATTCTTGATCTGTGAATAAGCTGGAAAAAAACACCAGCAAAATGGTGGAAGACCACAAAACCACACAGTATCCATTTCCCCTGAGTGTCTAGTGTGACGACAGTGGCCGCTTTCTTCCTGGGAGGACAGAGTATCTGCAAGGTCAAAAATACACAGGAAAATAAAAGGAGAGGGGCTTTTTTTTTTTTTTTAAGTTACTGTGCCGAACAAGGCTGTTTGAGGAGACTTGTGAAGGTAAA